CTTGTAGGAACCCATTTGTGTTCTCTCAGACGCTAATCCAGACCAGACAAGCCCCCATGCAATAGAGGAACAACTGGATAGATCTCTTGATCTCCACCTTCCCAAGGGGCCCGAGTACAAAATTTACAAGCTGGCAGGGAACACAGACGTAGCTGGGTTCCCCGCATGGGCTTGGCTTGTGGGGTTTAACCTTCCTGGCCCCTTTCTCATTTTCAAATCCTCTCTTCGGCTGCAAACAACTTTGGCCTTGTGGGCTCACTAATACCTATGAGATATTTTGTCCCAGATCCTATACTTTGTGGGTCAGCGCTTTCACTGTTTCCCCTGGAGAGGCCTTGTTGCAGGCTCACGTGCAACTCCTGCCTGGCTCTAATTCTAATATCGCCCTCTCTATTGCTCACCCACCAAGCCTTGTTCTTATTGAAACTTGAGTAAGATAGGCCACCCATAGGAATTTGACCCTGTCCAGGAAAGGATCAAAGCTAAGCCACCACTACAACTTAATGATACAGAAAGGCCCTCTGGCAGGCCCCAAACACTACATGGGTCTCACATAAAATCAAGTCCACCAGGCTGTAGAAAGGAGCCTCTCTCTATCTCAGTACCTTTCTCTTGCTCTCCAGGCTGCAGCATTGCTTGCTCAGTCCCACAATCACTTCACAAGCCCAGCTGTTGTGCTGCTAAGGTTTCCTCTCCTCAGGACAAGGCAGCTTGACCAGCTCAGGCTCAGTGCTCATATGGCTGCAGCCTGGCCTGCTGCTGGTCAGGTGAGTCCTCCATCAACCCCCTTGGCCACCTGCAAGAGGCCTTTCAAGCTGTTACCTTCTTAAACGAACAAGGAGGTGCCACTACCTTATTACAGGCCTCTTCTCTGGCCACGCTTCATACTGTCACTTGGTGCATTTCAGCCTGAACATTACTAATGAAATGTTGACTCTACAATCCTGCTCCATGGAGAGTTGAACTGTTTAGCTTATTCCTTACAATCTCTCGTCCATGGCACTTCAGACTCCAGTGCCTCAACTAGCTGCTCCTAAAACTTTGCCAGTGCTCGTTCTCTCTCTCTCTCACCTTCCTTTCAGGTTCAGACTACAAGTCATTACCCTCAATCAGGCTTTCAAATGAATTTCTAAAGTTCAGATAAACTTTCTACAACTCCTAGCCCAATTCAGGGCCAGCCAAGGTTGTGGGATCTCCTCCCCTTACCCACATATGGGGCTAAAGCTCATCTGCCTGGATGCCTAGCTATGTCTGCTCACCCATTAGACATGGGCAACGCTTCACCTTCTCAGTCTGTCTCGGGTGTTGCCAAAGCCATAACTGTTGATTATGTCACTTTTGTTAAAGATGGTGACCTGTTTAGCTTATTCCTTACAAACTCTATTGTCCAGTGCCTGAACTAACTGCTCCTCAACTTTGGCCAATACTGTCCCTCTCTAACCTTCCTTTCAGGTTTGACTACCAGTTGTTATTTTCACCCAGGATTTCAAATGATTTTCTAAAGTTCAAAGAAACTTACTACAAATCCTAGCCCAACTAAGGGCCACCCTAAGCCATAGGAATTCCTCCCTTTTCCCCATACATGGAGCTAAAGCCCATCTGACTCCTGTTGATTTGAATGAGATAATATTTTCATTGTATTCATCCAGGGACATCTATCTAGTGCCTCTCCAGTTCTCTGCAGGACAGGTCCACAAGGCTGGGACTGGAAACACATCTCTGTCACCAGGGAGAAGCTCAATGCAGTCCTGAGTGATCTCATAGCACCTTTCCTCCAGAGACCTCAAGGCCCTTTGCTAGGAAGAGAAGCACCAGTCTCCTCCTCTTTCAAAGCATCTGCCCTTTGCCAAGATTCAAAACAATTCCCTTCAATATAACTGCTAGGACAGTCCCAGCTCTTGAGCTTGGCAGAAAAGATTTCTAGGGCAGTAAAGATCCCAGGTCATGTAGCAAAGTGAAGGCAAATTTACTACCCAGATCCTAGAATTAGGTGGCAATGAAACATGCCAACCTGTGGATACAAGCACATCTGAGGTGGGCCCAGAAAGCTCCAAAAGAGACTGAGTTAAAAGAAGCTGAGGTAAGTCTTTCTTTCAGGTACCTATTGGCTAGGATAGTGAAGGCACTGGGAAGCTTTTCTGTGCATTATGATAGTGTTGTAGATGAGGAAAAGCTGACAAAATGTAGAAGATTCTTCATTCAACTTCTTCATTGCATACAAAAAGACTATTGGGTGGTAGGCATATGCTGACTCAACCTGGCTACTTTTTGTATTTTCATATTTTGGCAATGCAGCTAGTCCTATTTTTCAAAATGAAAATTCTTACTTTTTAATGAAAAGCTAAATTTTCTCAGCCAAACACTTTCTAATATTGAAAAGAAAACTAGTGGTTCTCCTAAGTACCATGTTCTTAACAAAGTTTGCTTTTTTTTTTCTCTCTTTCGGTTTTATGCATTTATTTATGCATGTAACTAATTCCATAGTTTTAGACAGCTGACAACATATGTGAAAATATTTATTTCATTGTAAATTCAATATTCTCTTAAAACAATTGCTGAGATTCCAAAAAACAAAATGTCTCATCTTATTGTGCAAGCCTTGGTAAATTTAAGAAAGGAAGGTGGGAAGATGAATTGCATGGGCCAGTCTTTATCAAGTACCCAGTCCTTTCCCTTCTGCTTACATGAGGTTGGCATTTTCAGAAACACCAAAGGAGTTTGGGGCTTTCTTCACAGCAATGAAGTGCCTCAAGGTACAAACAGGCACCCCAGGGTGATTTTCACAATCGCCTTCATTCTAACTTCCACTGATTTCATTCCTAATGAGCTGATATTTCATGGACATAATTCAAGGATACAGGTATGACTGCTCTTCAGCTATGGTACATGTGCCATGATTGGTAAGACACCATGTGGTAAACTGTGGACTCATCCTTTTAAGTATTGGTTGAGTGTTTGTTCATCCTGGCATCTATAGGAAGAGATATGCTCTAGTTCAATGAAAAGCTGTTGGGTTTGGAGCATAATAGTCACATTGCATCCCCCTGCTGCAGCCTCCCAGTTTAATATGCATGTACCGACTGGCAGCCACTTTCCACCAAACATAGCAATGTGAAATAACACTTCATCCCAAAAGTAGGCCAGTGAATGACAAGAGGCACTAGAAGATTTTGCTAATATTCTCCAAGGGCACTTTTTCCAATTCTTATTGCAAGGAGAAACTATAGGTAGTAATAGCTTCATTGTAGAAAACTCCGAATTTCAAGAAACTTGCTGTAGATTTATTAAGTCAAGGTTTAAGTAACTTTTGAAGGGCTCTGTCACAATAAACCCAAAGGGCATTTAAGCATTCTGCAATCCATCTAGCCACTTTGCTATCTCCTTCATCCTTACACTATTTACCCCCCGCAGCAGAGATGAGCTATGGAGACTACGGGGAAGGAGAACCACACCATGGTAACAGAATTCATCCTGCTGGGGTTTGGGAGTGGTCCTGCGACTCAGGTGCTGCCCTTTGTGGTGTTCCTTGTGTTTTACACGGCCATCGTGCTAAGGAACACTATCATGATTCTCATCATTCGAATCGACCCTCATCTTCACACCCCCATGTATTTCTTCCTCATGAACCTGTTGCTCCTAGACCTCTGCTATTCCTCAGCCATTGCCCCCAAAGCCATGGTCACCTTCCTACAAGGCAGCAAAACCATTTCCTACAATGGATGTGGTACTCAGTTGTTCTTTTTTGCTCTCTTTGTCACCACAGAAGCCTTCATCCTGAGATCAATGGCATATGATCGATACATAGCCATCTGCAATCCACTCCTCTATTCTGTCACCATGTTCAAAAGGGTCTGCATTCAGCTCATTGTGGTCTCCTATATCTGTGGTGGCAGGAAGTCAGCTGGGGTCACAGGATCCTAGCAAGCAAAACATCCAGGTTTCTCTTGAAGGTGTTCAAAATAGGTGCTTGAACGGCCTCCGGCGGCAGGCTAGTTCAGACCTTGGGGTCTCAGACAGTAAAGAAGTCCTTCCTTATGTCCAGCCTGAAAACGTCTTGCAGGGATTTGTAACTGTTTGACCTTGTCATCCCTTGGGGCACTCTGGTGAACAAACGTTCCCCCAGATCCTGGAGAACATCCCATATAAACTTATATGAGGCCATCAGATCACCCCTGAGCCTGCGCTTTTCCAGGCTGAAGAGTCCCATAGCTCTCAGCCTGTCGTCATAAGGTCTGTTTTCTGTAGATACTGATCTTCCCAAGAATATGTCATAATGCAAAGTTCCTGTGGCTGTGTTGAATGTCATGGAAACCATGAATAATGTTATGGTTATGTGAACCTAATTTGTTTGGTTCATAGTCCATATCAGTTTTGCAGATATTAAGTAATGACTGATGTTCAAACTTCAGGAAAAGATACATCATCATGACTAAAATACAGTTCGATAAACAAATTCTTTTAGTACAACAGAGACCTAAATCAGGTCTACTGATTGGTGGTAGGGCCTTAAAATTTTCAATTTACAGTTACTGCCAATTACACAATTCATCATACACAACAGAAAAGAAATAGTTGTTATATGGGACCTTTAATAGTCAACTTGCTCCATAGTGGTTTATAGAATAAATAAATGAATGTCTCCTAAAGGTTGCAAACACTACAACAGGAAGAGGCCCAATCTTTGCACATCGTCTATGCCATTCTCAGGATTCACTCTGTCAAGGGCAGGCTCAGGACCTTATCCACCTGCTCCTCCCATATGGTGGCTGTGGCTTTATTTTTTTAACTGTTTCCTTTATGTATGCTCAGCCAGGTTTTCTATCTTCCCCACATCTGAGCAAGGTGGTGTCTGTATTTTATACCCTTGTCATCCCGATGTTGAATCCCTCCATCTACAGCCTCAGGAACAAGGATGTGAAAGATACTTTGAGGAGGCTTATAGGTAGAAAAACGATCTTAAGATAAGACATTTTTCTAAATATGTAGCTAATCTACATTTCCAAGCAAACAGCAGAGAAAAAACAAATAAGTGCTTGCATTCATGAGTCCATCTGTCTCTCTCTACATCATTTTCATTCGTAACCATCTCTCCCTCTAGTATTTATGTTCCTATCTGTGTTTTTCAGCCTCTCATAACATTATGCTATGACATTACAAGAAAGATTTTTTTTTTTTTTTTTAAGTAAGGCATCCCCCACTATTTATAATCTTTTTCGCATTTTTAATCCTTTTCTTCACTCTAAAAGTCTCACCCCACATACTGGACCCAAACTTCTTTAAGTATTAAGGAACATTTGCTATATTAGGAAATCATCCCAAGAGAATGCCCATCTACATGTCCCTTTCCATGCTTGAGTGTACTTGTATGTGTGTATGCGTGGCAGTGAGTGCGTATCTATGCCTTCTACTGTGTTAGCCCATTTTCCTAAATCATGGAATCATAGAATAAGAGGGTTAGAAGACACCTCAGGAGGTCATCTCTTCCAACCTCCTGCTCAAAGCAGGACCATCCCCAACTGTCTCATCCCAGCCAAGGCTTTTTCAACCCAGGTCTGAAAAATGTGTAAGCATGGAGCTCCTACAACCTCTCTGGCTAGCCTGTTCCACTGTTCCTCTATTCTCCTACTTGTCCTGATATCTAACCTCAATTTGCCTTCCTGCAACTTAACCTTTGTATGTTTGACTTTGATGCTTTGGACCTTTTCAAGAATGAATAAAAAATGCTTCATTTCAGACTTTGGCCCAAATCCTATTTCACTCTTACAGGTATCTAAATGCAATCCTATTCCACCCAGTTTAAGCCCATGAAAAATAATGCTGTAGGCAAGGGTGGTCCTCTCTGCTCCTTTTTGAAATTTTTGTCTTTAGGGTAAGAGGAATGTGTGTTACAATACATCAAGTCATTGGAAACCATTACAGGCTTAAACAGGATGGAGCCGTATCTGCACAATCAGTGGAATAAGAGCTAACTTAGACTTCTCTTAGTACAGATACAGAGACACTGGAAGGACACTGCTTTTCTGCTCATCTATCCAATTACCTTTCTCACCCTAGTTAATCCAACCCGACTATACGTCACTGACACAATCTGTTCTTACACTCACTGGAGCCACCTACACATGGACTTTACTCTGCATTAGACTTATCTAATGCATAGTAAAACATCCCTATCTAACCGTGTGCAGCAGTTACTGCACAGTAGCTTAATATAAAGCACCGTTGGCTAATACCAACACGTAGAGATACTAAACACTAGTGCTTTACACTAATGTTTCTGGATGGACATGTAGATGCTGACCCAAGACATAATTTATCCTGGTTAGCTGAGGCAGCAGGGGCCATAACTGCAGCACTGCTTAGGGGTGGGTGAGGAGCCATCCCCGACACCAGGAGCAGCTCAGAAATGCAAAACTCAGGGCTAGACTTGAGCTCCTCGCCATTGAAGCTGCCTCCAGACCTGGGGACAAATCCTGCCCTGCCCCCAGAGCACAGGACTCACAGCCCCCTCCCCACACCCTGGCAGCCTGAGGCTAACTCCCCCATGCCTCCTGCCAGCCCTAGAACTGGCACCCAGGCACCTGTGGCCGGAGCCTGGAGCCCCCCCAGCTGCTACAGGGGGGCAGAGCAGGGCAGGAGCAGCCCTAGATTAGGCTGCTCCTGTCGAACCTAATCAGTTACCAACTTGGGCACAGATGGGGCGTTTACAGACCTGCTCGTGGAGTGGGGGGGGGGACACGCTTTAATTAGAGTAGTTCTGAGCCACTCTAATTAAAGCACCCAGGGCAGTGAGGAAGCTTTAACTAAGGCTCATCGAATGTGCTTTGGTTAAAGCACCCACATCGCCATTTTTCAGTGTGGGGATGCTGATACACATGATGCTGGAGCCTGCTGGAGCATGATAATTACCACACTCCACCAGACTTGATTAATCAAGTCTGCTCCGATGCACTGTAATTACAACGCATCAGAGCAGCCTCACTGCACATGTATAGGTCCCTATGAAGACATGTGCCCGGGGCAGTTTAATGTGCCTGAATTTTATGGGCCTAACATTCACGTGCATGAATTGCAGCTCTAGACACGCCCACTGTGTGTCACTACATTTTTGTTACATGCTCTCTCACATAAGAAGTTTTATACGCTATTTTCAGGAATAGATGATTTCTTTACCACTGATGCAGACACCCAGTATATGTATCCTGGATCTTACTTCCAGAAAGATCATATCCATAGTGTTATGAAAAAAGATTTTTTTCCAGTAATGTTTTTGGGTTCAAAGAGCCCAAGGAAGTTAAACAGACACCCTTGATGAGTTTTGGTGTGATTAATACCCTAGGTTTCCCTCTGAAAAATCCAGTCCTTGCTTTAGATCAGTGGTTCCCAGTCTGTGGTCCACGTACCACCAGTGGTACACAGACAACTTGTCAATGGTACGCATTAACAGATTAATTATAATTACCTTATATGACAAAAATTTTCAGGTAGTACTTAAGGTTGAAATGAAAAGTTTGCTGGTGGTACTTAAGGATACATCGTTTTAAATTGGTGGTGCGCTATCTGTCAGAGTTTGGGAACCACTGCTTTAGACTTTGTAGCAAGACATTTCCACAACCCCACCCCCAACCCACCTCCCCCCCAAAATTAACATGTATTCAGTATCCCCATGCTTCAAAATGACAGCAGGGCTGCTTTAACTAAACCTTTTGCAACAAGCCCCCTGCCACCATTTTGAAGTGTGGGGACACTAAATACCTGTGATGTAGAGGCTGCCGGGGCATGTATAATTGCATAATTGGCACACTCCAGCAGATTCAATTAATTGAGTCTGCTCTGACCTCTGCTAAACTTTACACATAGGAGCAAACATCTGGCATGTGTATAGGTGGCCTAGGTCAGCAGAACTGCTTGGTAGCACAGAAGCCATTCCTCATATCTCAAGGTTGAAGATGCCATAAGTGGTCATCCTCCTCCACCACCACGGCCACTGCTGCCAAGCCCCACATTCACACCGACGGTGACCCCGAGGGGCACCTTGCACAGCAGGAAGGAGTGGAAGGCCAAAGCGCACCGCACCTGGCCCAAAGCTGCCAAGCCGTCAACCAGCTCCCCTCTCTCCTCACTCGGGCAGCCCAGGCTGGCTCCATAGACCCCTGCCAGCCCACGCCCCATGCTCCTGCCACCTCACTCCAGGCACTCCCAACCACTGCTCACTTCCATGCCCCCTGTCACCACTTTCCTGCCCACTTGCCAGCCGCTCTGCATCATGTTGGCTGTCATAATCACATCCATGCCCCCACACACATCCACACAAACCCCCATACCCACTAACCCACCCATGCACAATTCCCCACAAACCCCACACCCACTCACCCATACCCCACCAACACCACGGCACACCCCACACAATATACAAAAGTAAAACTGCATTTTGATATATTATGCAGTCACTTCTACATATACAGCACAAACACACACAAATCAGGGCAAAAATATTTTTTTACTTAAAATATAGTATTATGGGTGTTTGATTTTTAGTAGATAATTTATTGTTCTTTTTCCCTCAATATGGCAAACCCTCTTCCCCAAAGGAGTACTTCCAGGGGCAAGGGAAGGGACTTTCGGTGGCAAAGATCAGAGGTTAGAGGCAGGACTTCTGGTCCTAAGGTGTCAACCAGGCAGTGGGGCACCAGTAAAGGGGCAGTGAAGTTACTCACTTTGTGTCACATATAGTAAAGGTATATCAGCCAGTTCCTTTATTATAATTATGACAAAAGTGTTCTGGAGCTATTAACATTAGTTGTTCAAAGTTTTGCTGCATCCATGACCACAGCCCACTCTTTGGCAAGAGAGGCAGCGAGCTGCTGGGAAGAGATGGCCTCCACCTCTCTCCACTGGGGAAGAGGCTCTTCTCAGCCAGACTG